CATACACGTTTAAATACTAAAACAATTGTATGTATTAAAATAGATTAGTCAACCTATTTAATCATTTAATCCCACGTTTGGCGTGGATCAAAATCTAGTAAAAAAATATGTAGTGAAACCATTTGAATAAAACTTTGTTAGATAGTAAACCATTAGTTAAATGGAGAGTTATTCAATATTCAAAAATTGTCTCCGGGTACCGAGACGATTATGATCCAAAAGTTTATAAAAAAAAAAGTTTATGGTATAGAGAAATCCTTTTATCAAAAAAAAAAGGGTATAGAGAAATCGTAAGTGATTTCCTTAAATTTGAACAAAACATTGTGGAAAAAAAATGTTTAATTCAAAACAGAAAATAAAAGGATAATTTGTTTTTTCTGAGAACAAAATAAAAGGATAGGTTCTCGAGTATGAATAACAAAATTTTACATGTAACATTATGCTAATTGTGCACCGTTCGATAGTTACGATCTAAACATCCATTCTACGACAGAAAAATCCTCGTATTTGTTTTTTTTTATAAACCATGGTAATTACATTCCAGATATTTGATTCATAATTTTTTCTTCTGCTGTTCAGGCCAATCATTGATAATTTCATGTTTCAGATGTAAATTATCACTCCTAAATAAAACTGAACTAGTGATCTTGATCTTGAGTATATAATCTCAAGATCACTAGAACACCACTTACTTGATAATTTTGGTATTAACTCGACAATTTTTTCAAACGTAGGCTTTTAACTCTTTTCTTTAGTGTTTACATTTGCAATCTTGATAACATTGAAAAACCTTTAATTTTTCTTTCAAGGTTTACATTTGTAATTATCCCGCTAAAAATAGTTGTACAATATGTATGTACCTGAACCTAAACCTAAGAATAAGCCAATAACTAGAGTCCCTAATTAATGTCCCATCTGTAAGTCTGTAAGATGAAAACTAATTTCACAATAGCTTCCAAGCTGCATATTTTTAGTTTATTATATTTGTAAGAACTTTTTAGCAAAGTTTTTTGTTTGTCACGAAGAGCATCATGCATGTGGTGTTTAGGCTTTTGTATCCCTTATTAGTATTCCAATGGATCATATATACTAGAAACAGGAAAGTTAGTTGAGGATGCCAATGTTCAATCCAAAAAAAGACAAAAAAAAACGGAAGAAATAGAATAATGGTCTATATATCTGTAATAAATTTGTACTACTGTTCCACAAATCAGCTAACAACCAAGTTCTCATGAGTAGGTGTCCATTCTAATATTATAGTTCATGTGGAATTCAAAATGCGTCAAATAACTAGATAAATGGTTAGTTTTAGTTATTAATAGAATCCATAAATAAATGAAGGGGAAAATGTTATTTTGTTCTGAAATCGAATCCATAAACAGACAAGGGGGAAAAGGTAAAAAGAAAATTACCAAATTTATCCATTTCGCCAAAAAACACCAATTTCATCATACATTAAAAAATCATAAAATTTGAATTGAATAAACCAGTTTGAATCCGAAAACAATTTTTTAAGTTTCTTAATCACGAAACTGAAGAATTTGAGGTTTGAGAAAACAAAAGAAAAAGAAAAGAATTTGTTACGAGAAGTGGAGCGACAACAGAGAAACAATCCAAATTTTTTTAACACTATATTTTTA